CATTTAGTTCTATTAATAATGTACATCTAGATAGTAGTGTTGAGTGCTTAAATTGTTCAACTTTCAACAACTGGAATAAAGCTTTGAATTTTTTTCGAAAATCTGTACTTTTTTTGTGAGTTATATTGTTTTCACAGTTTAACTCACAAACTGATCTTATATAGACCACCAGTGAATACCCGAAAGCACTAGACGGCCATTTTACCGTAGTGAAGGTCTCTTCAGCAGTTTGAATCCGCAACTGTGATGGTATAATTAAGACAATTTTTGTGATTTCAACACTACAGTCTCAATGGGTTTAATAATTTCATCTTTATAATTTCTGTTATAAATTTTTATCACTGTAGGCCAAAATTATAAGTACATATTTGCATTTATCTCATTTCTAGTTAATATTGATTTTTCAATTAGAGTTATAGAGATCATCGTTTTTACACACAGAAATCATGAATCATTCATTGTTAGACGAAGATTAGAAACCTGAAAGCACTGGATGGCCATTTCATCCTGGTATAGGACTCATCAGCAGTGTGAATCCATGACTTCTGCACCCCTCAGTACTCTAACCCAGGACCTTCATTCTTGAGTGCGAAATCCTAACCTCAAAATCTCTGGGCCGGTATCCAACGGTGTTAATGTCTAACTCTGATCAATCTAGGGATTTTACACGCCCTCACCCATTTGTCCTCGGTAGTTACTGCCTACACTCGACAGGCTTGAACTATACTGTTCACGTCTTCCCACTAGAATTCCAAGAATTTCCTCACGAAGCTAGTTACTTGTGAGACTAGTGAGACCGAAGCTCTTGGGTTCGAATCCTGTGATTAACGGGAGTTGTGTTTGCGCACTGCTGAAGAGTCACATACCAGGACGAGGCCGTCGTCCAGTGCTTCCACGTTTCTAATGGTGGTCTAACATTGATCGATTCATGGTTTCAAAAATGTGTAACTTAACAATTTTCACAACCCAGTAATTTAAATGAAAAAAAAATGTTTTCCAAAAAATTCAGTTCTAAGACAGAAAATTCAATTAATATTTGTATAAAATAATCTGAATGATTGTACAAATAGCTGATAAATTTCTATAGATGGTAGTTTGAAATCCATCTTTACTTAGGTTCATTTCTGTTTTTTATACAACGCAGTTTGGGAAAAAGTATGATTAGTTTGTAGCGTAATATTTAGATAAATTTATATTTTCACAGTTAAAATCACAAACTGATCTTAGCTAGATCACTAGTGGATGCCCAGAGGCATTGGATGAACGTTTCACCTTAATATAAGAACGCGCAAGTTGAAATCGAACCTGACACCTTAGATTTTATGTGTGAATGCCTAATCTCTAGACCAGTGAGCCAGCATTCAAAGGTGTGAATGTTCATGTTTAATCAAGTTAAGATCAGTCAGTGATTTCAACTGTGCAAATACTACAATCTCCATAAATCCCACACACAAATTTACATTTTAGTGCAGAGTTTTGGAGGTTTTTGTGTTTTTGCACATTTGAAATCATCAATCAATCATTTTTAGACCAACATTAGAAACCTGGAAACACTGAAAGACGGCCGTTTCGTCCTGATATGGGACTCATTAGTGGCAGTACGCATCCACGTCTCCTGAACCCCACAGGATTCGATATCGGGACCTTCGGTATTGTGCGCGAACGCCTAACCATTAGACCATTAGGCCGGCATATAACAGTGTTAATGTCTAAATGATTGATCTAGGGATTTTGCGCGACCTCACCCATTTGTCTTTGGTAGTTACTGCATGCACCTTACTTACTTACTTACGCCTGTTATCCCCAAAGGAGCATTGGCCGCACACCAGTTTTCTCCCACCAACTCTGTCCTGGGCTTCCCTCTCCAGTTCTGTCCAATTCTCGTTCATTCCTCTCATATCTTTCTATATTTCTCGGCATAATGTGTTCCTTGGCCTTCCTCTTTTCCTTTCGCCTTGAGGGTTCCATGTGAGGGTTTGTCTTGTGACGCAGTTAGGTGCTTTTCGTAGTGTGTACCCTATCCACTTCCACCACTTCCTCATCCACTGGAATCTGGTTTGTTCTCTCCCACAGTACGTTGTTGCTGATGGTGTCTGGCCAACGAATACGAAGTATTTTGCGTAGACAGCTGTTAATAAACACCTGTATCTTCTGGATGATTAATTTCGTAGTTCTCCAAGTTTCCTCTCCATACAGTAGAACTGTCTTGACATTTGTATTGAAAATCCTGATTTTGGTTTCGGTACACCATAGTGTCGAAGAAGCCTCCACAGTGTTTTCCTATCCACGCTATCGAATGCTTTCTCGTAGTCGATGAAGTTGATGTAGAATGGCGAATTACATTCAATTGATTGTTCCACAACAATCCGTAATGTAGCGATTTGGTCAGTACACGATCGATACTTACGAAATCCAGCCTGTTGATCTCGATGTTGGACGTCTACGAAGTCCTTCATTCTGTTTTACAATACCCTGTTGAAGACTTTGCCTGGTATTGAAAGAAGAGTGATGCCTCTGTAGTTCTCACACTTGCTGAGATCGCCTTTCTTTGGTATTTTGATCAGGTATCCTTCTTTCCAATCTGATGGTACTTGTTCTTCATCCCAAATCTTCTTGAAAAGGATATGAAATATTTTCGCAGTTGCTTCTACATCTGCTTTCATTGCCTCTGCTGGAATATTGGCTGTTCCTGTTGATTTGCCACTCTTGATTTGTCTGATGGCCATACTGATCTCTTCAGTTGTAGGTGCGCCAATATTAACTGTGAGGTCCGTAGATGCTGCTTCGCTGTTGGGTGAGGTCAGTAGAGCAGGTCGATTCAAGAGTTGCATTAAGTGCTCTCCCACCTGTTTCGCTGTTCGTCAGTGTTGCTGATTACTTTGCCTTCCTTGTTTTTCACTGGTCGTTCTGTTTTTCGATAGTTTCGGGCGAGCTTCTTTGTTGTTTCGTACAATTGTCTCAAGTTTCCGTCTCTTGCAGCCTTTTCAGCCGTCATTGCTAGATCTTCCACATATTTTCGTTTGTCAGCTCTGATGATCTTCTCCACTTCCTTGTTTGTTTCTGTGTATGCAGCTTGTCTGTAGACTTTCTGTGCTCAGGTGACGTTGATTGCTGTCTTTTCGTTCCTTCTTTCTTCAGTTTTTGAAGAGTATCAACAGAAATACATTTCTTGTGATGGTACTTATTGTGACCCAGAACTTTGTGACATGTTGAAGTGATTGTCTCCTAGATCCCCTTCCAATTGTTCTCCAATGTTGCGTCCTCTCCATTGAGTATATCGTGCAAGGCCTGGCACCTATTGGTGAGGGCTATCTTGAATTCGTTGAGTTTTACGGTATCCCGAAGAAAGGCTGTTTTAAACTTCTGTGATGTTGTCTGCCCCGTTATCCAGTGCTTCTTTAGTTTCTGTTTCATTTTAGCTGTCAGCAACGGGTGATCTGAGGCTATATCAGCTCCTCTCCTTGTTCTCACATCCTCCATGGTCCTTCTGAACGTTTTGTTGATACACATATGGTCAATTTGGTTTTGAGTAGTGTGATCCGGTGAAATCCATGTAGCTTTGTGAATGCGTTTGTGCGGGAATATTGTGCCACCTATGGCCAGTTTGTTGAAGGCACATAGGTTTGCAAATCTCTCACCGTTTTCGTTCCTTTCTCCCAGTCCATGTCGTCCCATGATTTCTTCATATCCAGTGTTGTCCATTACAACCTTGACATTCAGGTCTCCCATAAGAATCGTCAAATCCTTTGGTGAACACTTCTCGACGATTGACTGTAGTCTTTCGTAGAACTGATCTTTAACGTCGTCATTGTAGTCATTGGTAGGTGCATGGCATTGGATGACGTTCATTGTAATGTCCTCTTTCTTTCTTTTGAAGGATGCTTTGATGATCCTGGGTCCATGAGATTCCCATCCTATCAGTGCCTTTTGTGCATGTTTGGACAGCATCAGTTCAACTCCTTGTGTATGTGAAGCATTTTCCTCTTCATGACCAGAGTATAACAGCAGTTCCCCTGATGATAGCTAGTCTCAGTTGTCCTACCTGTGTCCAATGCGTTTCACTGATGCCGAGCACCTCGAGGTTGTATCTTTTCATTTCTGCCACAACTTGAAATAGTCTTCCAGTCGCTCACAATGTACGAACGTTCCATGTAGCTAAAAGAATGGTTGCTCTGGTTGTGAGAAGAGGCATCGGCCCCCTGACTTCCGAGGGAACTCGGCTTTCCTCACGCGACGTCATAATTCTTCTTCCGACTTGCAGGGCAGAGTTAAAATTGTTTGAATTTTTTTTTCTGGTTAGCGTTTTTTTGGCAATTCAGTTTCAGTTGGGATGGGGGCGCCAACCCCATGTCCAACCCTCCTCCTTTATCCGCGCTTGGGACCGGCAGTAGCTTCTAAGGTTCTACTGGTGGAGTTACTGCCTACACCTACATTTCACAAAAAGTATCTATTGACGTTAAGTTGTTTAGAAAAACAATCCATTGATTACTTTATTCAATAATCATATTTCTTTTACAGAGAATAAATTATTCCTTCGAATAGTTTTATACCTAATACAAAGAGATAGATTTTCATTAAATCTCTTCCAAAGTAAGAGGGAGATATAAAACCATCACTTGACCAATAAAGTGTTAGTTTTCTTCTTTATAGATATAATAAAAAAATTCAACTTCTTGTTAAGAGATATGAAGCTTTTTTATTACAACAAAAGTCTATTTGAGAAAACCATGAAAATCTCTTCCCTTCAAACTATCCTTTAATTCTAGTCAAATGTGATTGGTCAGCTAACAATGAGCGAAATGACCAATCGGAAAAAAGGAAATTCTTCCAAAATAATTTGTGTTTTACCCCCTTTAATCACAACTATATATTATGTAGATCTCTCTTGTGATTCACTTATCGACTAAAAAATTATTCTTCAAACACATAACTATTTATCGTTTCATGACATTGAAGGAAATTTACTTATTCTAAGAAACGATTACACAAGTTAATTTATCATGGTTAAAGGACGAAATACTACTGCTACTCATAATATTACTGAGGATTCTATGGATGATTTTGTTGGTGATGAACCTGGGTAAGTTTTTTATGAATATAATTCTCAGTAAATATTTCATGTAACATCTATCCAATGCTTTCGGGCATCTAAATAGTGGTCAATTTGTGATTTTAACTGTGAAAATATAAATTAATCATCATAATATTACGCCACATACTTTTTTTCCCCCAACTAAATTGAATAAAAATAGAATTGAATTCGGAGTAAAGATGGATTTCAATCTACCATCTATAGAAATTTATCAGCTATTTGTACAATCATCCAGATTATTTTATGCAAATATTAATTGAATTTTCTGTCTTAGAATTGAATATTTTGGAAAATATTGTTTATCATTTAAAATACGGGGTTGTGAGGATTGTTAAGTTACACATTTTTGAAACCATGAATCGATCAATGTTAGACCACCATTAGAAACGTGGAAGCACTAGACTGCTGTTTCGTCCTGGTGTGTGACTCATCACTGGCAGTGCGCATCCACGACTTCTGCACCCCGCAGGATTCGAACCCATGACCTTCAGTATTGTGGGCGAACGCCTAAACCATCGGACCACTGAGCGCACTGCTGATAAGCCTCATACCAGGACGAAACGGCCGTCAGTGCTTCCAGGTTTCTAATAGTGGTCTAAAATTTAAATAAACAGTTGTAACACTTTTTTAGTTAATATCTCTATGATTTCCGTTGATAAACAGTATGTTCAGAATCACTTTTTCTCCATATACAGTTGTTGACAGATTTTTCCAAGTTTAATGGTATTATGAACCCACCTTGAAAATAATGTTTATTATGTCTAATGAAAGTTGTGTGATATTAATTGTGGTCTGCCTTAATAATCAATTTCTTTATTCCTACTAAAATGAATTAATTATAATAGAAATAAATGTATATTAATGACTTTAAATGGTAATAACAATATTTTTCTGATTGACAACTGTTTAAATTAAGGATAAAATCAATACTAGACTATCATTAGAAATCTGGAAGCACTAGACGGCTGCTTCGTCCTGCTGTGATACTCATGAGCAATGACACGTTTGGATGTCGGTACAGTGGTCTAGAGATTAAGTTTTCATACATAAGATCAAAGGTTCTTAGTTCGATTTTAACATGCGGGGTTTGATCTTTTACGAAGGTTCCTTAAAGGCACTGAAACGTTTGGATGTTAAAATATTCCTGTGAAGTTAAACAAGTCTTTAAATAATGATAATTGCGGACATTCGTTGCTATTTAGAGCGCTTAGGTATCTAACAAATTTATTATCCGTCGAACTTTCTGCATTTGAAAAAGAAGCTCTATCTCTAGGATTTAACTTTTCTCTACCTCTAACCTCCCGATTGACGCGCAGTTTGAAAATCTCTTTACTCAACTGAACCCTATTGTTCCAACCACTAAAGATAATTGGTTGATATCTCTCACCAATTTTACAGTTCCAAAATAAAACAGGAATATTTTAATATGTAAAATGTTGTTTTTAGCTAAAACTGGTTCTAAAAACCAATTTGTGATAATTTATTAAATCGAAGGCAATTAGGCTATGAGCTAACAATAAGACTTGACTGTATCCCATATAAAGTGTATGTAAATCTAAAGTTTATATATCTTTACTTGGTTACCAAGTTATTTGCATTACAGGGTTGTGAAGATTGTTAAGTTACACATTTTTGAAACCATGAATCGATCAATGTTTTCAAAAATGTGTAACTTAACAATTTTCACAACTCCCTCATGCAAATTACCTGTGCTCACTAGTCACTAGCTTCGTGAGGAATCTTCTCCGAGTTCTAGTGGGAAGACGTGACCAGTGAAGTTCAAGCTGTTCGTGTGTAGACAATAACTACCGAAGACTGTGTATGAGGTTGTACAACTCCGTGAATTGATCAAGTTAGACATAAACACCATCAGATACCGGCTCAGTGTCCGACGGTTAGACATTCGCGCACATTACCGAAGGTCATAGGTTCGAAACCTGCCAGGTGCAGGAGTTGTGGATGTACACTGCTGAGTAGTCCCATGCAAGGCCGGAACGGCCATCCAGTACCAAGGTATTGTCATTTATTATACTTTGATTCATATACTAGGTTAAGTATTATGAAACATACTCATGTTGATACCACAATGGGAAATAATAGATCAGTTATTTCAGTAAGATCACCAAAAGATCCAAGTTAGACGACTATTTTTAATCTAGAATCACTGTAAGAACATTTTGTTGTAGTATGGGATCCCACACAACAGTATATTCTTGACCTAGAAACCTGGATCTCTGACCCCGCTCGCGAACATTTAAACTCTAGACCACTGAGATGAGATTCATTAATTTACAAGATATAATCAAATCAATCTACTATATTGCGATGCGCACATACATATCCCTCCGGAAATCCAACCAAGAATCATTAGGTCGTGTTGTCCAATTCTTTTGGTTTTAATCCTGTCCTGACTGAGATAATAAAGGATTATTGTTAAAACAGTACGAATTATTCACATTTCAATTACACATCAATTATTACTAACAATATGAAAGCTTAGTGGCTAAGACGCTTTGAGTTTCATCAGTTAAGTTTTAGATTCGAACCTAACTGTCTGAAAAGCTGAGTAGTGTCACTACAGTCACTTGAAGTTGAATCAATATACTTCTGTTTTGTAGATCTGAATTACAAACCTCACTTACCATCTACAACTATACATTAAAACTGCAATTTTCATAATAAAATTTGTTTCGTAATTTAAGTAATTCACAGGTATGTTCAACACTGTCAAACAGTCACTAATGAGAGATTAATAATAATAGAGAAATATCGTGAATAATTACAACTGTTACGTAATACATAAACATATCATTTTATGCATAGCATAGTAACTAGATGAATCTGATTTGTCATCATGATCACAACCGAAATAAAAAAAGTAAAGAGTGGATCATATTTCTTTAAGTTTGTCACTTAGGCAATTGAAAACTCATTGCTCTCACTTTTCTAGTTGATGCGTCGATCTCAAAAATACCAAAGAAAATTGAAATTATTCGATAATCTGTTTATAAACTATTACTATAATTTAGTTGCAGAAGTATTCTTAAAACAGATTTATCTTAGTTAGAATACTAGTGAAAACCAAGCAACACTGATTAGTTGTTTTCATCCTAGAATGATGCTCTTAAACAATGAGCTGTTGTGACTTAGTCATTTATTGAACCTAGGAACTCTATCTATTTCAGTTAATACTTAACTATTAACAACGCTGGGTTAATGTCTGAAAAAAATACTATGATGACTGGAGTTAAAGTAAACCCAATAGTTTGAACGATCAAGTATTTATCTCGACACCGGGAAGCTTAGGGTTTGATAACTAGTAGCACTGTAGGTAAGCACTGTTGATGAGTTTCATACTAGAATGATGTAGCTGTTCTCCACTTTTACTGTCATTTACGTCAAAATTTTCGTAATTGTGATTTCAATTCATTTGTATTGGTTGTTCGAATATTATTATCGATATTTAGGACTGACACTGATCAGTGTTTAGGACGTACTTGAATCCTGTACCGATTACCTCGAGATTGGCTTTAGCTTATAATTATTATTTCCAGATGTGGATAGTGTTAGCACTGAATTCCTGGATAAAGGTTTCCTCCTATTTTGGAGGTTGATTAATCACAGTCCTTAATATCAATAGAAAAATTCAGACAATTACTCCAAATAAATTAAACTTTATTATTCAAGTTAGTAGCTATCTGGACTCAGCAGTTAAGTGAATAATGTAATGGGATTTAGAACGAAAGTTACTTTGGTTCGAGTCTCGTAGTGAACATCAACTCTCAAATACAGGTATAGTCAGTTGATAAGTCTTTAATAGGATGAAGCGCATCCACTCAATTCCACAACTACCCACTACCCAATCTCTACTGATAATGACTGTTATTTTATTAAATTCAAAAATGTGATTAGAGTTCACAATTTGATGAAATGATTTTCTGTCTCCAGTTTAATACAGTACACTTTTTAATTCAAAATTATCCATTTTTCTGACTGATTACTTATTGTATAAGAATTCCTATCGAAAAAAATATTCGTTGTGATTGAATGTTCAATAAATTGAATAGGTGTTATGATTCCTCTTAATAAACATTTCATAAACATTTAACTATATGAAACTAACTACTAATCAATACATTAACGATTTCATAGTTGATATATTGATTTTATAATGATTCACCTTCAAAATTATTCAAAATCATCATAATGGTCCATTATTTAATGGTTCAATGGCTTATCATCTTTATCTATGTATATAAATGGCATCATTTTTCAAAATAATGTTTACAATTTATTGAAATCATAGTAGTACATTCATTTTAGTAACCATATTACATCATCCACTTTCATTGTTCATCATTCTTCGTAACTGTGACATAAAATTACACTCAGTAACTAACTAACTAACTCGTTAAATAATAAATATTGTCAACTAGCCAAAACAAGTCAACTTATAAGAAATGAACTTGTTACGTGATAATTACATGGTAATGCAATATTTTTCTATTCGAAATTGTTATCACTGTTATCATCCATATTTGTCTAGTTAGTGTAACATCTGTTTACTATTATTATTAGTATTAGTATGATTATTTGTTGTTGTACTAGTCTTATAAACAAACAAACAAACAAACATTCCAAATAAAGTGTATAATTAGACATTGAAAGAAAATTTTTTAGATAATTATGTGTTTAACTGGGGGAATGTAAAACTATTGAGTTGTGATACATTTAAGTATCGAATAACCGTAGCCTACTTGATTTTCTTCTCAAATTCTCAACTAGTTCACTCATTTGGGTTGAAGAAAATATTCCTACCTTGAAGTGTTTATGTCATAACAAGAGTACACTATTGGTGCGAATCGGAAAATTGCACAATTACTGTGCATTCTCATTGAGCTAGGAATTGATTTACACCCTTTTTGACAATCTTTATTCTTCCAACCAGTATTGAAGAATGTAAGGTGTAATTAATTTACTCACAATATTATGCTGTAAATTAGTAGTAACATAGTCATCCAACACCTTTGTATGCAAAAATAAATCACAAAACACAATTAAAATCACAAAAGTTTCAATTAAATGAATGAATGAATGACTGAATTTTACTTAGCCCTTTTCCAAGAAAGTTTTTTTTGTTTTTGTTTCAATGAAAAGTTACACTGAACTTGGTCATTTTGTATTGAAACAAAAAAGCAATAAATTATGAATCAGTTTATAAATTACACTTGTCAATTACACTTGTTTTGGGTTCAGGTTTTTTTGTATGGAGCTGATGGTGGAGGGTGCAGCACAGGGAAATGTTCATCTATGTGTGTGTGTGTGAGAGAGATTATCCTTTTCTTCTAGAGTGAATAGTCATAAGTGAATGAATTTAGGAAAATAACATTTCCAGTTCCTATTCTGGGTTTTTTTTTAAAAATGCTTAATTACGTGCAAAATATGGTGGAGTGTTATTTGAACTAATTAAGGTTAAAAAGACATTGTCATCAATTATTATGATATGGTGTGTGTATGTGTGTGATTAACTATTCAATTGATTTGAAAACAATGACCTATTCACTTCATTTGTTTACATAATTCCATGTCTGTTGTGTACATTATACTCATTAAAATTTCTATAACTTTTCAAATATCCCTTTGATCGACTTAAGTTGATTTCTGTGTGTATGTGTTTTCGTGAATTTGTGCACAAGTTTATTTGATGTTAAGTTTGGTAAAATCATTAAATATTTATTTCTTAATAATTAGGTGCAATAGGAATTTTTTTTGGAAAACTTTGTTTTTAAAAGCAATTAATTGTGTTTGTGCAGGTATGTGTGTGCGTGTGTGTATGTGTATGTTTGGTACACATTCATGAGTATTGCACCAAATGATCTGATCACATTTTCATTCATAAGTGATCGGTTGATGTTACATTATTCTTAAGATTTCAAATATTTCAGAGAGAAGTAAGGGCACTGATTTTGTAAAAAAATTCATTCTTATAAAGTAGGAGGAATGGGAATGTTTTATATTGATTGGCTGGTGTAAGAAGTCTTGATCAAAGTTATCGTTTGTGGTTTTTTTAAGAACTGTATCGCTTTGAAAATATTTATTTAGAGTGATTACATTTAGAGATAGGTGGTTGATTACAAATTACTCTACTTTATAATATATTATTATTATTTAGTTCATTAAGTTAGTGCATATTCAGACAGACAGATACAACGCTGAACTTCGTACGTAAGTACATCAATTCGGGTTGTCGTACCGCATCAACATAGACACGCAACTCTCAGTTCAAATCCAAGAGTGATAGCAATAGTAGAAGTATTAGCAGTAATGGAGAAGATTATAGTTCGAAGATATGATTCGAGAAGTATAATTCAGTGAGATAAATTTACAAAGAGAAAGATAGAGATTATGAGGAATTAAGAAGGTTAGAATTAGAGACTCCACAAAGAGTAGATGTACCTGCGCCACTGCAAACGATTCTGAGCCAGGTCATTATTCAAGGTCTCTAACCATCGGTGACTTTCGTCTCGCGGACCCCAACCAGATAACCTACATCTACCAACATGACTCAGACCACTTGTTAGTGACTTCATGGATTTTTGCCATGTTTTAGTTTCAAGTATATAGAATAATGCATTTTCCATATACTTGAACATTATATTCTTTTCATAAATCACATAATTATGTAAATTATGATGTAACCGGTGTACGTTTTATTCTCCTAACAATTTAATTATACTCAAATCTATGAAACCTATGATTTCATGATGAAATTGCCGAAAAAATGAAATCATAAAAGTAGGAATATCTACGTGCAAGCATAAATTTCAGACTGTTTACAGTTAATGTGAAGCTTTGAAATAGATTGAAATCATAACATTCTAACACTTAATTGTTGTTACTCTGTTACTCTGTTCATTATCCCGTATAAAAACTGATCAAATTAATCAGATATGAAATATTGAATACTTAAAAATTCAAGTAAAGCTTAGTGTTGGCTGGTTATATTCTTAATCTAATACGAAAGCTTGGTAACTAAGTATAATTCCCTATACACATTTTTATGCCATACGTTTTCATAATGTTTAGTTAAATTATATCCATCTGCCTACACTAATATGGTTTTTATGTAGAGAGAGATTGTCATCTGTTAACAAATGGTCAAAATTTAACTAGGTAGTCAATAAATTATTACAGAGCTGAAAACATTGACAAATTTAAAAAAAAAAACTAGATTAGGATCTTGAATTATTTCTTCTGGTTAGCGTTTTTTTTGGCAAGTTAGTCTTTTTGACGGGATAGGGTCGCCAGCCCCATGCCCAACCCTCCTCCTTTATCCGGGCTTGGGACCGGCAGTAGCCCCGAAGGGTCTACAGGCGGATCTTGGTAAAATGTATCTAAGGGACGAACAGCAATATTTGAAGGCGATTTATATCAAGTAATAAAATTCATTGACCGTACTGTTGCAAATGAAAGTACTTGAAAAAAGTCTTTCAATGGTTCAATGGCTCATAGTTAGTTTACTATTTTGAAATATATTTAATTAAGAATAGTATAACATATACATAGTATATTAGTTTTTTGACCAAATATCTCTTCTTTTCTATTCTAAAGATCATATAAATTCTCTCTAGAAGCTGGCTAAAAGTGTAATTGTTTGATTGATTCAGTTTCGTAAATTTAATAATCTTAGAGAGTAGAAATACAGTGTTTCCAATGCAGGTTAAACTCTTAGTGTGTAAACGATATATATCTACACACCTTTAATATTGAATGAATATCAATTTAGTAGTAATTACTTGTTAAACTCATTGAGTAACTTCATGTTTATTTATTCCGGTTACGAATTAGCTTAATAAAACTATTAAGTTATCAATAAACATAGACAGTGATCGAAATTCAATTTTTAACAACTTGTTAACTCAATGGATGAAACGTTAGTTATTTTAAGTGACAAGCATTGGAATCTAGTCTTGAATCAGGAATCAACACCGTATTGAATGTACAACATTCTGACGGTTGTTAAATAGACTGAGATCAGTATCTTTATTCAAATCATGCTTATTAAATAGATATTTCTGTTTATTGTAAAACTATTTTAATCTATGCTTTTTTTTAAATTCCAGTTCTCCATATACATCTGGAACCGATAGAAAACGTAGACGTGGAGTAAGTTACAATGAAAAAAAAGGATTTTTGATAAATTTATCTTATATTATATTTCAGTATATTTATAAAAATGTCACTTCTCTTAATTTATCTGTATAATTTAAAACTAATTACTTCATCAGTAGGGTGCATCCATGAGCCTTGTACATGGGGATCGAACTCAGGATTTGTTTGACGCTTAACAATTTCCATAACATGATAATAACAATTAACATCTACTCACTAATGAATATCTCCTTGAGGGAATTATCAGAGTTCTAGTTAGGAATTTTGGCCAGCGGATTTCAACCCATTCAGGTGTGAGTCATTTACTGACTAAGACAATGGACGAGGTAGCGGAATTCCGATGACTGATTGGAGTTAGGCATTAATACTGTTCGATACCGGCTCGATTGACTTAAAATTAGGCATTCACGTGCGAGACCGTAGGTTTCCCGTTGAATTTCCACTGGCAAGGTAGCGGATGCATACTACTGCAAAGTTCCGTACTAGTCCGAAACAGCTTCCAGGTTTTTTTCATGGTGGTTTCAGATTAATTGATTCGTGATTCCAATGAATCATTAATTTTTGACCAAATAATTTTTGTTTAGTCGTCATTAAAATCATTTACATTACGGGGTTTTGAAGGTTGTTAAGTTACAACATCTGAAATCATCAACCAATCATTGTTAGACCACCATTAGAAACCTGGAAGCGCACTGGACTACCGTTTTGTCCTCTTATGGGACTACTCATCAACAGTACGCATCCACAACTCCTGCACCTCAAAGGATTCGAACCCCGGAACATTCGGTCTTGCGCTCAAAAGCCAAACCTCTGGACCACTGAGCCAGTATCTAACGATGTTAATGTCTAATAACTTCAATCAATTTTTTTTATTGTATCATCGTTGTACACCGAATCATCGTTCAATAAATTTTAACGATGATCATAATTTTTTTTGTCACCCAAAAACTCCTCCAACCAATATCATTTACTGACATGTGTCAGTTCGATAAAAAATTGATTCATACACAGACTGTAAGAAAGTAAATAGATAGATAGTGTCAATAAAATATTGATAATTGAATGAAATATTTTCAAAATAAGATAATAATGTATGTTATCTATCGCATTAGAGTTTGTTGACAAACCAACAAAGGCGAATCAGCAAAAATTGATGCAGATAGGCAGAGATGTGTTATGTGTGTATGTATGACATAATCAAGTTGTTGAGAAAAAAAATTGGTTATTTTAGTGATGATAATTGAACTAGTCACCTTCTAAAAGTCACAGGATAACTAAAAAAATTAATCTACAAATCATGTATTTATTTATATATTGTGTAGAAGTTCTTACCAGATGGGATCGTCAATAACTAATTTAAATATGTACACTGTTATATTAGATCTATTCTAGACCAACTGTTAGTGTACGAACAGGAAGAATTCCAAGTTTTCAGATTATTATTATTATTATTTGAGTTATTAAATAAGTGAAAGTAGTCAATAGAAAATTTTGAACTCAAGTGACAGCCAAGTAGGTAAATACTTCCAAAGACCTAACATTTCATCAGAATGTACGCAGATCAATGTCCACATCACCGACTAATCGATAAAATATCGATAGCATTAAGTGTGTCGGATAATAACGACAACAAACGATCAGAATTATATGATTTATGCACACCATTTTGCATCTTTATGCGTATGTCTACTGTTGGGGATGTTAGATTCACGGAACTCACTTGATACAGATCCTAGTTTTGGATTTGTTATGTTTTCGCGCATGGGCTGATCAGTTGACCCTGAGATTACATTTCCTACGCGGAAAATCCTTGAATGTTATTGGCTGATGTAGTATTTTTGTAAGCTATTTTTGTAGCTCTCCCGAAGACGTTTCTATGATGTATAGATAAACTCGATTTCTGGGTGCTTGTAGAATTCACTTTCTACGTCTTGTCAAGACTTCTGCCCCTACTTAGTGGGACCTTGGGACACTCGGATTAGAGTAGGCTATCGTATCACTGAATCTTTAGTTTACCGACTAACTTACTTACTGTCGCCTGTTAACCCCAATGGAGCATAGGCGGCCGACCAGTATTCTCCAACCTACTCTGTCCTGGGCTTCCTCTTCTTGTTCTGATCAATTTTTGTTCATTCTTCTCAGTTTACTTACTAAGGTGAACTCGTAATTGTTTCAAGCATATCCGTTGACGAGCCTAACATATACAGATTCCTTTTCAACATTATTGTTTAATATTATCATTAGAACAATTGAATGATCATTAAAACACTCAGTTTTCTACACAGTTGATTTCATTTTTAAACTCCATTTTGTTTAAGACAATCCGAATGATCATGAATATGTAAACTTGTAATTTGTAAACAATTGCAATTCAGAAAAATGTATATTCATTCAATTTCTTATTTGTTGTCCTAGTTAAAACTGAGTTTTTTTCTCTTCTTCTTCTTCTTCTTCAGGTAATTGAAAAACGAAGACGTGATCGAATCAATTGTAGTCTAGCAGATCTTAAACGTTTGGTACCAGATTCAAATCATAAACCTGTAAGTAATTAATTTAAAATATAAAATATAAATCATTTCAACTCATAGAGGATAATTACTATTAAATTCCTTTGAGTTATGGTGTTTCTTTAAATTATAAAACTATATAATAATTCTATATGATAACTTGATCAAAATTCTATTGTACAGTGTGAAATCTATGGAATGACACTGACTGATTGTGTAGACATTTATATTGGAAAATATTGATTATTGAAGATAGGAATTCAATTTTTATAAGTTAGTGTTAACTGATTAAAATGCAGTATTATAACTTAAATGAAATTGAATTTTGTATGTAGTAAAAACCTGTGAACTCAATTATGCAAATTCTTAATTTGTAATAGAAACTAAGTCTCATCATATTGATTGTTTTGTTGGAAGAAAGGTAAGGGGCGGCCAAACTAAAACATGGCACAAATCCATGAAGTCACTGACAAGTGAACTCAGTTATGTTGTGTAGGTGCAGACGACCTGGTTAGTTTTTTTTTAAAAAAACTGTTATAAAAAAGATCTTTTTAATTGTTTTCTCGTAAAGTCAACTTAGTTTTTAACTATAATATGGTTGAAAATAATGTAGAATCAGTACATATTCGTTAATTTCAATAAATCAAAAAAAATCTGTTCAGAAGGGAATATATATGAATTCACTTTTGTAGTGAGTTTTATTAGATTGATAATCAGTGTAAAATTGCATCACAAAAGCTTCAGAATAATTTTTTTCCTAGTTTAATGTTTTTGGAAAAGTTCTCGAATAAAATAGATTACATAAATGCCAGTCATTAATAACGTAGAACTTCGTACTTAAGTGCATAAGTTCAGGTTATCATACCGCATCAGCATAGAGACGCAACTGTCAGTTCAAATCCAAGAGTGGTACAGATAGTAGAAGTATTAGCAGTAAGGAAGAAGATTAGGGTTCGAAGATATGATTTGGGAAGTATAATTCAGTGAAATAACTTTACAAAGAGAAAATAGAGGTGATGAGGAATTAACAAGATTAGAGTTTGAGGGAACGCAATGGATGAATGCACCTGCGCCATTACAAACAATTCTGAGCCAAGTCGTTCAAAGTCTCTAACCAGTGGTGACTTACGTCTCTCGAACTCCAACCAGATAGCCTACATCTATCAACATGAATCAGTCCACTTGTCAGTGACTTCATGGATTTGTGCCATGTTTTGGTTTGGCTACTCCTAGCCTTATTTCATCCTATTCCTAAACAACAAAACATAGTTCGTCGAGTCACATACCATGATGAAACGACCGTTCAGTGATTCTAGGTTTCTAATATGGTGGTCTTATAATAACTCATTCACGATTTCATATTATTAATGTAGATAAATCAAAGTTATTGGGTAATAAATGATGATGAAGAATAACTTCTGCAGAGCGGATGCTCTCATTGTTATTGCATTCTCTACAGTAGAAGTTATAATAATGGAGCTTTCATTTGTGTTCTAGTCAACACTGTCAGCAGTTACATTGAATAGCTGTAAAAAATAAAGCAACTAGTAAAGAGTCTTTCTTCTAGATCTACTGTTCTTTTCCTATACGTGCATACATGCACGTAGTTGAAGAGATCAAGTTATTAAGTCTTTTCTAAATTAACTCAATCAAGAATTACATTCCTTCAATACAACATTTTTAATTCAAATATCTTTGTACGTGGTGTATTTGTTAATGCCATGTGTACATAATTCTGTAAGCAGTTCCACTTTTTTTCTTCATATTTTACAATCATACAATGTTTTGTAATACTAATACTACTACTACTACCACTACTACTACTTCTAAAGATTGTGAATAGCGTTAGAAACAAGTTCTTCCAGATGATCTTGTCAATGATAAATTTCTAAATGATTATGTGTGTATGTGTTTGATTAACGATAGGTGTATGCCATGATGATCGTCAATGTAAACAAATTTTGAGATAAGACGATTTCTCTTCTCACCTGTATATTTCTGTAAGAAAACATGGTGAGAGAGACACAGAGAGAGAGAGAGACAGAACAGAATTCTTCCCAGATCTATGATCATTTCATGTGTTTCATGATTGTGAAATAATGATAAACTAATAATCAGATACCTTAGTAACATGATTATCAAACGAAGGGAAGAGTAAGATAAAGAATTGCATTTATTGTGCATTCATTGTACAGCTTCTATGATAGTTCCTATTATCGAATGATTACTTCACATTGGTCATTGGTTAGATACAGGTCAGATATATGTATTTATATGTATATATAACATTCGCACTACTAGGATTGTTGAACTGACCTTATCATTTCACGTAGTTGATAGTTGAAAGTATGTGTGTGTATGTGCATGTGTATGTTCAGTAATCTTAATGATGGATGTGAAATGTTCCTTTTAAAATCATTGTCTTACTTTAAGGAATATTCATTCTATTCAAAATTAATTGTCAAGATGAAATGTTGATTAAATCATTGATTTAATATAATGAATCAAAAAAGTTCAATTCATTCTGAAAGAAAATTCACAAATCTCAATAGTAACCTTGACAATATAGTTTATCAATTTGAATTATATCAATGTTTGATCAAAAAAATTGTACATTACTTACATTTGTGGAAAGTTTGTTCCGTGAATAAATAACAGAAATGGGATGAATTGACAAGGGAGAAAATTCTAATCTGAATAAATTCACTTTTAGTTCGATAGAGGGAGAGAGTGAGAGAAAGAGAGAAGGAGAGCGTAAAGTTAACGTTACTAAAGGACCTGTGCCCAGAGTTTCATATAATTGACTAAATTAACAGAAACTAGCCGCCGCTGAATATCCTTAAGTCATTCAACAATGATTTTAAGAAATTGTTGGCTATTGAAAAATTATAGTAAAGCAGAGGGTAGTCAGAACAAATGTTTGTTCAAATTATCAATTCAGATTAATGTAATGCGAAGAAAGTATCAAGATAATTAGTATAGAATTTAAATAACTTACTTACGCCTGTTACCCCCAATGGAGCATAGGCCGCTCACCAGTCTCCTCTAACCAACTCTGTCCTCGGCTTCCTTCTCCAGTTCTGTCCAATGTTTGTTCATTCCTCTCATATCTTTCTCTTTTTCTCGGCATAATGTGTTCCTTAGCCTTCCTCTTTTCCTTTTGACTTGAGGGTTCCATTTGAGGGCTTGTCTCGTGACGCAGTTAGGTGCTTTTCTCAGTGTTTGTCCTATTCGCTTGCACCGCTGCTTCCTGATTTCCTCCTCCACTGGAATCTGGCAAAAATAATGATAATGAGACAGACTAAACATTCAGAATACAGTTCGCATAGTATAGTAAAATTACTAGAATAATCAAAAACCTAACAGAATTTGTGCATCATTCACAACGAACATTCCAGTATCGTTATTTGAAAAATAAAAATCGTTCATTCTAAATCTCCTTAAAAAAAATATACTTCAAGATAATCTTCTTCATGTTTTTCTCATCGATCGTAGCAATCCCTACTTCTTTAATTCAACTGAAAATCATTAACCCAAGATAAATTTTATGATCAGATGTATACACAGAGAGAGAGAGAGAGAAAGACATCTTTAAATAAAGTTTCATTGTTAACTAGCAGTTTACTATGTATGATTAATGTAAATGATCGATATTATGAAGTATGGAAAAAAGAAGTTATTTCTAAGTCATCCAAGTACACCTGCCTACCTTGGAGAGTATAAATGTATCAGTGTAGTTAAGCAGCTGTTCTAATTATGCACATATATACATATAAATTCCAAATATTTGTGATGAAAAAAAACCCAGGACATTTCTCATTATCAGATCAACCGAAAGAAATATTTGAGCAGAATATATTCTTGTTTTACTCACACCTTGAGATTGTTCATATATCTAAATATGTATAATCCATTTCCTCTACCTAGGATTCTTCTTAGGCGATATAAAACAGTGAAATGATCAAAAAAAGTGACATGAAATAAATAAATTCGACGTTAAAGAAAGAAAACTATGACAAATAATATTCATTAAAATGAATTACTCAAAAAATAAAGGGGAAAAGAAATCCAGATGAGAATCTTGTTTGCTCGAATTTAACCAATTATATTTACATGTAAATATATATATGAGTTAGTTGTTGTGTATTTACGGCATATATTCATACAGAATTGTATAGTTGTTCAGTGATTCGATGAATGCAAGATGGAAAAGACCAACCTGTACACCTGCATAGCATGTAAACATGTATTTTTCATAAACCGAATGAACTCTGATCGTTAGTTATGTGTCTGTCTAGATGTGATTGATTTGCATGATTATTACAGCTCAATGTGTTTTTGGGGGGTTTTGCTCAACATTGACTAGACTTGCTCAGTCAGTCGACTAACAGACGGATTAGTAGTTACATAACAGTCACTAATGTTATATCTGGCTAATTACTAACGATAAATAAGTGTTATCCAGTAGATTGTGGTGTAGTCATTATTGTAAGTGGCTTGATATTGATTATGGACATAGTGAGTATAATTTGTGTGGTTGAAGGTAAACGGTTTAATAGGAACCATAAATTCATTTATGATTATAGATATTTGTTACTTGTAAATACCAAATGGCTTTCCTGTGGATTTTTAACTAATTGGTTACTGACTGGAATTCTACCTAATTGGTTCAACTAGTCAATACAACCGTATAATTAGTAATCACAGAAAGTTTTCAGCTTAGAGTAGTACATATGTACGAGACTAATTTGTATCAAGATTTGAAATAATTTAGCACTTCAGTTTATGTACATGGTACGATTTACTTAGAGTCAATATGGTTATTAATTTCAATGTGTAAATATCGATTCATGCAAAACTAAATACATAGAATTGTAGTATAAACATAATTTACTTATTATCCACTGAACAGTTCCTAGTGTAAACTAATATGATATGATAACATGAGTTTTATTTATTTCGATATCATTTTTGATAAGAATGAAAAATTTATCCCCAATACTAACGAATAGTTATTGTTCAATATTGTGATTAAAAGTGTAAGTCAACTGTCACAGAATTAGCAGCTTAAATGTGTAATATTGAAGTTGAAGGTTATAGTTTGAATAAGGTTCACAGTCTGTAACTAAAGCGGTCGTACGTACGTACGTACATCAGTTCAAGTTACCATACCACACTAGCACAGAGAGATCGATTTGTTATTTCAAATCCTATAGGATTGCAGATATGTTTCGAGAAGTATAACCCAGTGGAATCAATTTAAAGAGAGAAAAAATATCATGAGGAATTGAGAAGACTAGAATTTGAGAGGAGACAAAGTATGGATGCACTCGCGCCATTACAAACAATTTTGAATCATGTCATTCAAAGTCTCTACCCTTCTGAATCATGTTTAGACTTATTTAATGGGTTTTTTGAAAAGAATGTATCATTTAATAGCAATTTTTTTGTATCTAAATGATATTAGTTCCTGATGTAAATCACCTAATAATAGGACTAATTACCTTAAGTCGTACGATTACCACTACTACTATCTCTATAACTTAACTTACTTTTTCTTACGCCTGTTATCCTTACTGGAACGCAGGTTGCCGACCACCAATCTCCTACCTTCTTCGTCCTGGCCTTTCTTTTCCAATTGTAACTGATTGCTGTTTATTCTTTTGATGTCTATTTTCAATATTCGGTCTACAATATTCATTGGTCTTCCAATTCTCACCATCACTAGTACTAATTAAATATTTCTTGTTGCTTAAATTATTTTATTTTAATAGGGCTCAGCCAAATTGGAAAAAGCTGAAATTCTTCAACTTACAGTTGAATTTTTGCAGAGACTTCATAAAGAAGGTGAGTAAATAATAAAATCCTGCTTTTTTTGCCCTGAAAAATATCTCAATCACAAAATAGCAACACAGTGTAGCTACAGCAGTGAACACAATCTGTTAATGAGTACATTCACTTTCACAAATCTGTTTGTGTTTCATCTATCCAAATATTTCATACATGTGATTTGTTTTCCGCAATTCTGAATACTATTAGAGCAACAAACCTTACATAATAAAAGAAAATCATCATTGGTTTCGAATCTTTCTCATCAGATGTGAATCACTTTATATAGAAACATAGTACATATGATGTTGAATCACTTTGGCCAGTTATCACACTGCTCCTTGATGTTTAGAAGACTATGCGAACAAATAACTAGCCAAATATGACACTGCTTACTACTCAAAGATCGATAAAAGTACATTTTCCATTTGTATATCCAGTCGACCACAAATGAAGTAGCGCAGTAGTTACATTTTAGAATTTAAAACTGTTTGACACGGTTTCGAATCGAAGAGGGCTTATCAGTCTCCTTAGAATTACAGTTATAGTTTGTTGAATAGCTTCTAGTAGAAATAATCGACTTCATAGGTTCTCTGTATATTAATTACTTCTGATCATATAACATATACACTAACAAATATTCTCTATTACTTTACATGGTGAATTCTTATTTTTCTTACAATTTCAAAGGTTACATACTTAGTTCAGAAGCTCGTTCCATTGAATTACGTCGTATTGGATTTAAAGATTGTCTTTTAGAAGTAACTCGTCTGTTATCCACATATGATGGTATCAATATATCTAGTCAAGAATTAAGTCGACATTTATTAAATCATTTGCATCAATGTGAAAAACAAAGAGATTTAGAAAAAAAAACTTATTTAGCTAATATTGCTTCCGTAGCTAATGCAATGTACTCGAAAATGAATACATCTAATTCAAGTACTACTTCTTCTACTACTGCTACTACTACCACTTCTACTACTAGCCAACAATATCAATCACAGTCTCAGCCCTATTTATACACCCATCATCAATACAATATAAATCATAATAATAATAATAATAGTTCAAATCCATTAAAATCAAAATATCCCAAATACAATTCACGTGTCAATGAACAGCTGGAAGTGTTCGATAAGCATTCAACTAATCTTTCGCTGACAAATAACTCTGTAAATCCTATACAATCAAATATTCATCATCAAAATGACACTTATTATACTTCATTAACATGTCCAACTAGTAATCGTCATTATACACCTTATCAATCAGTGGATTGTCAAGGGAATGATCAACAAATTTCTCAAAAATCACCATATAAAACAGACGATCGATATACGGAACAATTAACGAATTATTATTTACAAACAACCAATACATTTTATCCAAATTATATGTATGGGGAACAATGGAATAAGCAATGCCCATATACTACCACTTCATATTTGTCAGCTTCCACAACTACAACTACTGTGAGTGAATCGAATTATTTCAATACAAATTTTCATGCTTTCACTAATTTCTCCAATCCAATGTATTCTAATGTAAATACTATTCATAATAATAATAGTAATATTGCCAATTCACAATTATCTACTGGTCTTGGTCCAAATGAAAGTCAATCAACATCATCTCCACCGTTTCGTTCAACACCAGAAGATTCCGAGATTGGTTTTAGTCCACATTTAAAAATTAATTTATCCAATATTACTACTGGGAATGACGATATTGATGAGGAGTGTAATTATTACAATCGTGAGTGTACAGGAGGAGGATTTATGACGTCAACAACCACAACAGCGACAACAACAGCAACCACTGTCTCTTCATCTAATATGACTGATGCCTCAGTGAAGTCAGCTAATCAACAACAGCAACAACAACCTTACTATGATGATAATCATGAATATTTTTATCAAAAGAAACATAATACAAGTATGAATTTAACCGGTGATTATCAATGCTCACCTATTAAATCACATCATTATTCTATGCATAATAGTGAAGTGTATTCAAGGCAGCTACCTAACATTTACAATAATAATCAATACAATTATTCTTTGTATTCGAATTTTCCCAATGATTCATGGAATCCTATTAGTAAAACAACAGATTTACTACAATATCAAGCTAATCTACATCATCATTCACATACGCCACCAACTTCTATATTGAACATGAATGAGAGTACAAATTTGTCTACTATACCATTATCAACAATGTCACATAGTTTTAGTTCTACCGCTAATACTACTACTACCATAAGTAGTATAAGTAACCGAATGGTTAGTGAATTAAGAGAATAATGATGTATAAAATCATGTTATCATGAATTCGATGACACTTTGAAGAATATACAAGAAAGAGGAATCTATTGGTGGAAATTCTATGGAATTTATATGCACAAAAAGCCTATGATTATTAAACTAACAAAGAGAGATTTTGTACAGTAATATTTAAAACAATAATTCATAGGTTAATGAATTGCTTTGTTTTCTTCACATTTTTCAAAAATCTTTTCTTCTTCCTTCTCCTCTTATTATTTTTTACTGCTTTTGTTATGTACATATTGATGTTTATTTTGTAAATTTAGTGTAAATTACCAAAGAATTACATTAGTATCAAGTATAGAATTATGTGAAGATTATTTTTATATAAAATAGCAGTGAAAAAATCTTCCATGATAATCAACTATGACTTGTGGGATTAAGGGCCGGGAATTTGGGAGGTAGAAAATTCTAGAAAGTCACACACACTCAAATGATTGATCGCAATAATTAGACGATCGTATTTAAATATATATATATATATATATATATATATTTATTTATCAGAACATTATTTTCATTACAAAACTAAAATCTACTGAAGAAAAATTACAAACAACTTTATTTCAGTTTGTTTTTTGCCATAGTATAATTGTGGTGGTAGAAGTCTATCTGAAGTTCGTGCTGATGATGTTGTTCAGAAGAACAATGAAAGCTCCAAAACCAAAACAACCAGCTCAGAGAACGAAACACCACCACAATCATCCACCTGAGCTACAAATTTTCTCTGCCATAGTATAATAAACATACTTGATGAAACATGTAATTTAGTTAAACACAAACATTCAAGTTTCTCAGGGTATTAGGTATGTTTGAAACCTGTATGTTGGTTTTACATTTTCACTTTCAGTAAACTCTCCATATCATGATAATAAGATCATTGTTATAAGCGTGATTAGTAGTGTAGTGAAGGAGAGCATAAGTGAGGACAACCGAATTGTAAAATAGAACACCATATCGTAAATCGTTAATTTGCAAAATATAAATCCATCATATCGAACTGGACAGCTCCTGTTGCAAACATCAATCCATTGTCTGACATTTCACAGTTCATGCGTTTCATACAAATCCCATTGTGTTCCCGTTCTTCCTTTCTTGATCTTCCCCTATCTTCTGCTGCCAGACATTACGTTTTTACTCGCGTCATATACTACTTATAAGTAGCGCGCACCACAGTAGGAGTCTTATGCAGGATTACATAGAAATGCCTGATTAGAAATGATACAATGTTCATGCAGTTAGCAGTAGAATGATAAACAAACTAAATTACCGAAATGTATACTATATCACTATCAATCTGTTGTTGGTAAGCCCAATGATAAATTGCTACCTAAATTTGAGACTACGCATTCACACTACATACTCAGACAGTATATTTTACCAAAAAAACTGCCAGAAAGATGTTAAACTTAACCAGTTTCGCTGAAGAGACCCACTGTAATCAATAATGTGCATGTACATTTAAACTTATCGTTATTGTGTGCCAATCATTATTATGAATACTAGGAGAAATAGAATCAATGAGTTAAATAATTGATTAGTCTATACATTTTTATTGAAATCATCTCACATCTTCGATTAGGAACTGAAAGCATCGAACGGCCGTCTCATCCTAGTATCACACTACTCAGCAGTACGAATTCATGACAATGTGTGAAAGAATCAAACCCTGTGGTCTCGCATACAAACGCTTGACCTCTTAGTCAACAGTGTTAATGGTGGTCTAACAGTGATCAGTTCATGATTGTAATGAATCTCAGCAATGTCCACAACCCTATACTAACAAATAATATTTTTTATATTAACACTTCAAACAAGATTTTAAAAAAAACATAAAGTAACTGATGAACCAAAGCTTACTGTACTCAATTTAACAGTAAATCGAAATTCAAAAACCTTTCAACCATCTGTTTAGTTTATGTGTTCTTTATAACGATCAGTTGTCCATTTTCAGGTTAGGCTATAATAAAATAAGATATTATTCTGCTTTGTTCTGTTTATTTGAAACAACAATGAGACAAATAATCTATTTCAACTTTAATAAAGCAAATAACAACTAACCATCAGAATATTCGTCCTTATTGTCCTAATAAAATTTAGCTCTGTTTTTACTTGATCTAGGTTGAATCGATTTGATTTTTGTGATTATACATTAATCTGTTGCAATTACATAGAACATTGAACATGTAACATGTAGCAAACAGTTCAATGTTTTAATTGATGAAATAAAATGAAGGAAATGTTGTAAAACAAAAGAATACAGACTTATTGAATGTAGCTTTAATTATATTTGTAACAGTTCGATAAAATGCATATTAGTTACACTGAATAAACTTCAAACTGTTCTAGGAAAAAAGACACACATGAACATTAATATGACTTAGAGAAAATTAGAAACGACGAAACTAGTTAGTCATTAATTAAACTAACTGAATTTAGTTTCATGTTTTTTTTTACACAGAAATACTTAGGAATTTTCGAAGATCAATGAATTTTTTGAATGTTGCGCAAAATTCAGTTAGCGCCACATACGAATTTCAATGAATTTTTTTCTGTAGGATTTTTGTTGATTACTTTTAACAATTTAATATCGACAAAATCTCTTTCATTAGACAATTATCTCCACAAAGAAGTTTCACGAAAAATATTTGTTAGCTATTTCTTGCTAAGAAAAAATTTGATTTAGTTATCTATTTGACTAAAACCACTGATTGTCAAACTAGATTCACCAGTTACATGTTATTACATTTGAGATACCATTATCACGTTACAGAAGAAAGGTGAAGAAAGTCATATTACATATCAAGTAATAATGAGAATATATCTGCATACAGACTTATTAGGAATAAGTTTGGGATCAATGTACAATTTCTAGCACCTAACTACTTTTCATATTCATCCATATTATTTAGAAGTGAAATTGAATGCTTACTTTGACTTGAGTACAAAACATACAGTTTAGTATTATGATTCTACAGATTAGCCATATACTTGAATCTTGTTCATGCATGCTGCTAATTCAAAATACATTGTTTAGTTACACTACATTTATCATTGATTTAGACAATGATTATCGATTCTGTAGATATTTTTAAATAAGAAACTAAGTATTAATTAAAAACTGTGAATCAATCATTTTTAGACCACCATAAGAAACCTGAAAGTATTGGTCAGCCGCTTGTCCTAGTATAGTAATCTTCAGCATTTCGTTGTCGTTGCGCAAAATCTTTCGATTGATCAAAATTAGGCACAGACATCGTTCGATGCCGGCTGACTGGTCTAGAGATTAAGCATTCGTGTACGATTGTGTAGGCTTGGATTCGCGCCAGCAGGGTTCTTGAAAATGTACAGTGATGAAAGTTCCCATTCCAGAACAAAATGACCGTCCAGTGCTTCCTGGTTTCTAATGGTGGCCTAAGAGTGATTGATTCACAATTCGAATGTAAAACAACGATCGTCACAACTTTCGTGAAAAATATAAATTAAAAAAAAGTTCTAGAATAATAACCCTAATATTAATAATAACCCAAGGCAACATTGCAAGTATGTTCGGTTCGCGGTTCTCCTCCTAAAAATGCAAAGTGTTGCTTCAAGACCGGCTCATGATTGGTAATGAAGTAGTTGAGCGTGTTGACCGCTTCACTCATTTTTGGAGTCTCATCAGTCCTGATGGCTTGGTAGGTGACGAAATTTCGGCGCGGATACAAAAGGCTCTACTGGCTTTTGCCGATTAGCGTCACTTATGGCATAGGTAAGATATTCGTCTGTTAACCAAAGGACAAGTCCACTGCACAGCATTTCAATCAGTCCTACTATAGAGGTGTAAAACATTACCAGAAACAGTAGAGAATATTTGTAGGTTACTCATATTCGGTTATAGGTGTCTTTGATGTATTGTCTGTGTATCCTGGGACAATCGAGCAAGCAATACTCTAGTCAGGAAAAGGGTATTGGGTAAGGATGGCAAATCAATTGGTGAGGTACTGGGTCTTTATCAGTTGAAGTGGTTGGGAAATGTGTTACATAAGCCCAACCACCGACTGCCTCGTCGAGCTATGTTTTGTGGTGTAGGAGAATGTTGGAAGAAAGCTAGGGTTGGTCAAACCAAGATATGGAACCAATTCATGAAGTCACTGAGAACTGAACTAAGTTATATCAGTAGGTGTCGACTGACTGGTTGGGGTCCACTAAACGATAGTAACTGATGCTTAAAAGCTTTAAGTGGCATGACTCAAAATCATTTGCAACGGTTCGCATGCATCCATTCTTTGACTCTTTTCCAATTCCAATCTCCCGAATTCATCATGACTGTTTTTTCTCTTTTCGATTTCCGCCAATACTTCTGCTACCGCTACTACTATGGGATTTGAATTGACAGTTCGATCTCTTTGTGCTAATGTGGTATGACACGTTGAAATGATGTACTTAGGTACGTACGAAGTTCCAGGTTGTAGCTGACTGACTGATCGAATCATTTATATCAGTTAATTCTTTTCAATGAGATCATTTTCTAAATTGTACAATCATACACAAATATTAGAATATCAGTCTAGAAACATGTTGTACTTTCCCGAGTTTAATAATAAGATGGATTATGATTAGATTACAGAATAAATAGTTTTATGAAATATACCTATTATTTCTCATTAAATTAAACTAGTTAAATTAAGATTAAAAGCCACTTAATTCAAATAAATATTATTAAAGAAAATAATCACCATTATGATAATTGAAATCATTTAGGTATGAAGTAAAAGTGAGAGATATCAGATGAAATTAAAGATATAATTGACAAAGGTATCTAGTAAACTCTGACTTTTGATTGAGCATTGTAAATAACTGTAGCTTTCTCAGCATTGACTATTGATAAGATCTTATAGATGATATAAGATAAAGACTGATAGTTTTAATGTCATTTGTATGCTATATATATATACCATAAAATAAATGTTTGATCTTTTTGATACTTTGCCAAGTCT